ATGAAATAAAAAATAAAAAAAGTTTTTAAAAAAATAAAAAATGTTGGTTATTATATTCTAATTCTTCACTTTGAAAACTTTGAAAACCTATCTTCAAAAAAATGATATATGGGCTTGTTGTGAACGGGGCCGTTTAGAAGCAGCTAGTTGTCATAGTATTATGCAAGAGTATTCTGATAGGACACATTTTAAATTTATAAATGTTAATAGCAACAAACATATTCGTTTTCATTTGTATAATGATGAGCTTGAAATCTGTAACGGACTGGAAAGCAGAAGCGGTACTGAAAAGGTTTCAACATTTTATTTTATAGATAGCAATATTGAATCTCATTTATGGATAAACCTTGAACATATTTACTTGGTATTAGTTGCACGATATAATGCTGTCAAAATGTGTGGATACAATAAAATTTAAAATAAACTAAGGAATGATATTAAACTGCATGAAACAGATGGGCTTGATTTAAGTATTCTTGGCAAAATTTAATATATCAATGGTACTCTACTTGCTTCTCATCTGGTAAAGTTGGTAGTTACTGCATAATTTCATTTAATTTTCTTTGAAATGTTCATTCAGAACTTTTACGTCAGCTCAGATCGTTAGATTTACATAATTATCATGTTCAAGATGTAAAGATTGACAAATCACTCAGTGGTGTGTATGGTGTTAATAGTCATTGTTCGTTATCTAGTTTGCAGTATTTCAATACAATTGAATGTTTCCCGCCTGACTTTATGCATGATGGGCTAGAAGAGTTGTTGAGTGTAAATTTTTCAATTGTTGTAAGAAATCTTATCAAAGAAAAATTACTTACTATTTAACAGTTGACAAAAAAATAGCAAAATTCAAGTTTGGTATTCCAGATAGTTATGATAAACCTGCTATATTACGTGTTCCAAAAAATTTGGCAACAACGAATAAAACACTCTATGGAAAAGCAGTAGAGCGATTGTCACTGTTTCATTTTTTTCCTATATTTTTCAGCCGTCTAGTAAAAAATCATGATACACTTCTAAATAATAGCTTTTGGTTGCTTCATTTGCTTTGTCGACAAAAAATCAAATCATTTTGGCACTAGAAATTAATTTAAATTGAATCCCTATTCTTTAGCATCTGATTTAAAGACATTAAAATCTTTATCTACAGATTCATTTCCATTTGAACTTGTTGATGTCATAAAATAAAAATTTGTTAAACCCATCAAATAAATCATGACATGACATGAAAATCAAAACATGAGTAGTTTATATATACAACAAAACATAGAAATAATGAACAGGTCTTTTACACAAACACAAGTATTGTTTGTCAAATAAAAGGTTGCAATGACATGCCTTTATTCGATAAAGTTGAATATATATTATTGTTTTAAGAAACTTAGATTAAAGGCTAATCATCCGTTTATGAGTTCCTATTTTGATAATAAAGAAGTCATTTTATTTCGGCATCGGTGTTTGCCTAAAGGATAAATAAGAAAATTGAAACATTTATAACATTAAAATATATATTAAAATTTAGTATCCACAATTATTTCTACATTTGGTTTTGTATATTTTACCTGGGTGGTGTCTGCCAGATAATATGTTACCTGGGTGGAGTCGACCAGATAATATGTTACCTGGGTGGTTTCTGCTAGATAATATGTTACATGGGTGGTGTCTGCTAGATAATATGTTACCTGGGTGGTGTCTGCTAGATAATATGTTACCTGGGTGGTGTCTGCTACATAAAAAAAAATTCAGAAAATTCAGATTTCTGCAAAATAAAAATCATGAAAAAATCTTGAAAATTTTGAAATTTAAAAAATTAACTTAAAATATAAAAAATTCACCTTAAATATTGAATTTAATTAATGTTATATATTGGCATATATAGCATTAACTAACTTCATTTCAGTTTTAACTTTACTTTAACTTGAATATAATTAGTTTCATGACATTGCTCTTTTAGTATTTTCTGTTTTTTAATTTACTTTACTATTTATAATTGACTATATATTTTAGTTTTATTGTAAAAACATGCAAATAAGTTGCGAAAAAAAAAATATTATAAATGTTTTATTATTTGATAGAGTATTAAAGTTTTCAATAATTCAACTAAGTGATCAAATTTAAAATGCCTCTTTTTAAGAAATGGTCAGGCGATCGTTTAGTCAAAAAAGCAGTTATTGCTGGAGATTTTGTTACGCTGATAGTAAAGGATAAGAAGTTTTAGAATACTAATATATTATAAATACAATATGATTTTAAATATTCGTGTGGAGTGTTAATTCAAAAAAAAAAATTAAGTAATTACTATTAACTTATTTTTTCAATTTTAATTCCAGCGTCTGAGAAGTTCCAATTTTCTCCTGCTAAAATTGTTTTAAATAGTGATGGAACAGAAATAGAAAGTGATGTTTTACTTAGTATTTCAAGTGAAGTGTTGTTAGCTCTTCGTGATGGCGAGGAATGGCAAGTTTACAGTGAGATTATTATTAATGGTATTAGTACATTTAATTAATAAAATGCAGAGTATTTAAAAAAGACTATGTGTCAATTATATTTATTTTTGTATTTTTGTAGGATTCTTAATGGTTTTAAAAAAATTGCTTATCAACACTTTCTATTTTGTAAAAATGGTCATTTTAATTTTTTGAATTACAATGACCTTCTTAGCCTTAGGCGAAAAAAGTTAGCATAATTTTTTTCCGGTTATGATTTTGTGATTTTTTTTGACGTAAAAATTTTTTCTTGTAACGCCAAGTTCTCTCATTTACATTTTAAATTACGTTATAAATAGTTAATAAAATTATAAATATTATGTTGTTTATTGCTAAATAGTTTATATTGCATATATTCTGTGAATGCCACAATGTCTCCTGAAAAAGTGTCATCTTGTAATCAATCATTGTTTTCTTCGCCACTATCGTTTTTACAAGAACTTGAATCTAGTAGCACTGAGCTTAAGCTCAATAGATAAAGATTTCCATCATTTCCAACCGTATACTGTCTACCAATGTTCCCAAAGCACTTAATAGCAGCACTTGAAAAAACCTGCTCTAAAGCGGATCTAGATGTGTCGAATTAGCTGCAGTTAATTAGAATTGTTAAGGATGAGCAGCTGCAATAATCTTTGTAAGTAGTAGGTTTTTTTAAATAAGTTATTAATTTCTATATAAAAAGAGAGAGAGAAAGAGAGTCTATTTTCACGTACATACATGATTGCTCGTGCTATCTTCAAAAACTTTATTACTAGGTAATAAAAAAATCTATATTTGGATTTTTAGATATTCAACCTTATTGATGTATCAGCCTGTATGTCAAGCTATTGTACCAAGCTAACCGAAGTTACAATATAAAATTGTGTTTTTACGTCATAAAGCATCAAAACCATATGTAAATTTTGTGTAATTGTTTTTTATTTTGAATTAAGTTTATATATAAAAACATATATACTTACATATAGTGCCTTAAAAACTGGCTTTTGGCTAGTTATATCAAATATATAGAGAAAGTAGTTATATATATATAAATACATATATATATATATATATATATATATATATATATATATATATATATATATATATATATATATATATATATATATATATATAAGTATATAAGTATATATATATATATATATATATATATATATATATATATATATATATATATATATATATATATATATATATATATATACATATATTTATATATTTATATATATATATAAATATATATTTATATTTATATGTATATATATATATATATTTATATATACATATATATATATATATATATATATATATGTATATATATATATATATATATATATACATATATATATATATATATATATATATATATATATATATATATATATATATATATATATATATATACACACACACTCACACACACACACACACACGCATATATATATATATATATATATATATATATATATATATATATATATATATATATATATATATATTTATATATATATATATATATATATATATATATATATATATATATATATATATATATATATATATATATATATATATATATATATATATGAATATATATATATATATATATATATATATATATATATATATATATATATATATATATATACATATATATATATATATATATGCGCACACACACGCGTATATATATATATATATATATATATATATATATATATATATATATATATATATATATATATATATATATATATATATATATATATATATACATATATATATATATATTTATATATTTTTATTAATTTATATATATATATATATATCTAGTTTATTTTTATATACATTATATTAGTTATAGATATAATAAATATATATATACATAAAACTTTTTTTGTTCAAATAAACAGTTTCTGTTGTTTTACAATGTTTTTATAGACATTTTGATCTTGTGTATTTTGTTCAGGAGGCTTGCAAGTTTCGGCTAACTCTTTCTTTTAAGTCTTATTTTCCAATTGTCATTATTATTTTGTTTGTTTATTACAGATTTTGTTTTTAAATGAAGAGATCATATTTTATTGAGATTATCTTTACTTTTTTAAAAATTAATTATTATCCACAGAGTAAGCAAAAAAAAATAACTTAATAGGAAGATTTTCTCAAATATTTTTTGGATGTTTCGGTTCGACTTGATTTGATATAAGCTTTTTTTAACATATTAAAAAATACAAATAATAATTTTAAAACAGTTTCGTTGTTTTATTTTGAAATATTATTTTTTAGGTTTAGTAATTAAGTTTTTCGGTTGTAGAAGAATATAAAAAACTGACGTGAATGGTTATGAATATGTTTTCTTGATCGTATTTTCGAACGAGCAATCATATTTTGTATATTTATTGTCCTTTTTTTAAATATACATTTAAAATACATTTACAACATAAAATATAAAAAAAATTGCCCGTCGATATAGTAAAGTTTTTTTTTTATAAACTCTATTATTTGTTCATTAGATTTTATAGACTATTTACAAGTACCCTGTTGACACAGTTCAACTTAAAAAGTTTTGGTGGAAAGATTGCTTTATCATCATCCAAATTATATGGTGTAATGGAAGGTAATAAAAATAGTTTTAATGCATTAATGTTTTTTAATATTTAGTAATTGATTAAATTTATATTAAGTTACACTTATTTGTGATTTTTGTTCGAAAAAATTATATTGCAAGTTTACATTATTTGAAAAGTATCTTTATTTTATATTATATTTAGAAGTTGTAAAGAGAAGATTTAAAAGAGTTTCAAATGCTGATATCAAAAATGCTCCATCGCGGAAAAATACAAATTAAATGAGTAAGTATTTCTTCTTGTAAATATTATTATATGCTGTATATATTATTGTATAGAAAAAAATACTTTCATGAAATCTACCTAATGATATAAATAAATATAAGTTAATTGCACTATGTTTTCTTTTTTTTTTCACTTTTTTTTTTCCTATATAATTATAAAAAATTATAACGTAACATAACAATTTACTAAATCTTTGAGCCAAATTAAGTGGGACGTATTAATGCAGTACTCTGTATAACGTCTTTTTGATGCACAAAGGTTAAGACGTCTTTAAGATGGTAAATATCTAAAAGTCATCTTACTCAGAATGAAAGACGTCTTAAACATAACGTATTTAGTGTGTTTTGATAAGACGTTTTTAATATGTCTAGAGTAAGAACCAAAAACATTTTTTATTATTCTACGTGCACGTGAAAATCTATAATTACATATTCCTTCTTTCAAAGATAAAATTTTTCTAGGATATGATTTCATTAAATAGTTTTTAAGAAGAAATGCTTCATTACCAATACGAACGTAAGACAGTTTTATGTTTGAACTTTTTTGGTTCTAGGATATTTAATAAATTTGATTCAAAAGCAATTCCTACTTTACTTTTTCTGAATTTATCACCGTCACTGTTTCTACCAATATCCTCAATGTCAACAAGTGTGAGTTCATAGTTTGAAGTACAAACAGATAAATACAGTAAAGTAGAATGAGCCTGGTTTAGAAGATACTTGCATAAGAATAGCACCTATACAATAGCTTCCCATCAATAGCCCCTACACAATTGGAGAAGTTTCATTTCTTCTCAAACTCCTTTGCACTAACTTTTCATTTAATTTATTTTTATGGTTAATTAATATATTCTTGAGCCATTAATATAAATTTTATAGCAATATAGGTTTCGTTTATTATACTTTCAAAAGAAGTCGGACTTAATCAAAACATACGAGCTAAATCTAATTGTGGAGTGCCTTTAAATTATATCTCAAAGTAACCATTATATTTTCACTATCTTCAATTGATTCACGTCTTAGGGAAGATTTTGGAATTGCTTGTACAATTAGGTTTAACAAACATTCATACTTTGTAGGTGTTATTCTAAAAAAATTAACAAAGTATTCGTAATCAAAAAATTGCATAATTTTTATAAATAAACTGAATGCTCCTTTTTTTTTACTTTTTCTGAATAATTTACTGAACAACATACTTTTTTTACACTTTAACCTTCTTTTGATTTTTTAATAATACAGTAATAGTAGTTAAAATAATACACTAATAAAAGTTTTCTGTCTAAGAATCGATAACACCGCTATTTCTATTATTTAATTCTTATAATTCAAAAACGAAAGTAGAAATTGACCTTAAAATGTCCATCTATTAAAACGTCCTTGGTCTCACTAACTTTAAAATGTTTTAATTGCAATTTAGTTGAGATTTAATCTAATTATCCTTAAATAACTTAACGCAAACTATCACAAAAAACAAACCAAACAAGATCAAAAGTTCTCCCTTGCAGAGTTCGTTTTTTTAAAAAAATTAAATTAAGTTTAATAAAAATTGCCCCGTATAAAAGCTCATTGTCTCCAACTTCTGTTTGTTTTTTGTTTTTAATTTTTTGCGTTGCAAATTTATAAACGATTCAAAACATGTAAGCTTTATTTAATAATTGCGTATTTGTAAAAAAAACTTTATTGTCAAAAACAATGTTTTTGTAAAAATGGTTTGATATATTTTTATGAATATTGTAAAGTAAAAAGAATTTTCTACGTGTTTTGTTTTGTATTATAGATGTTATATTTATAGATTGAGCTAGAGTTTTTTGGCATTCGTTTCTCCCTATACTTTGATTTTACTTACTTCTAAAAATTTTAAACTTCTCATTTTTAACGAAAATTAAATTTTTATTAGTATTAAAACTTCGTTTTGAAAATTTTCGTCATAAGAATTTTTTTTACAAGTAGAGTTCTAGAATAAGCATAATTCTTTGTTATAGAGTTATTTAGGAGTTATACAAAAGTAATTCAATATATAGAATATTTATTAACAAAATACTTAAATATAACATATACACTACTTTGCACAATAAAGTTTTTTTGTTTTATTGGAAAAATGAGACAGTTATTATTTTAAAAAATATTTGTTTTTTATAACAATTTTAGCAAGTTTTTGTAAATAATAACAAAAGACAGCGCGGGTATCTTGGCTTTTAAACTATGAATTCAACGTCTATCTATTAATATATTCTTGCCCCCTCTAAAATTTCAAACGACTACCAAGGCGTTTAAAATTTTTTAAATTTATGTAATATATTATTTTTTTAATCAAAACTTTAAAAGGTAAACGATATGTTTTTTTACCGCAAACTAAAAAATATTAAAGTTTTTCTACCGCAAACTAAAAAATATTAAAGTAAGTCAAAAAGTAGAATTACCAATACCTTTATTTTACGAGTCCGAAATGCTAGTCAATTTGAGTCTCAAAAAGTTTTATCTAAAAGTTACGTCTATTTTGATTGTGACAGGCGCAGACTCGCTTTAAATAATCTATATATAGGAAATATTTATGAAAAAAGTAGAAGACAAACAGTTTTAATTACTTAATTTAAAAAAAATGCAGAAACTAAAACAAAACTAAAAAAAACCTTTCTTCCAAATTTCGCAATTCAATGTTAATAAATTATTTGTTGTTTTTAGCACGGTAAAAGTTAAAAATGTCAGAGAAATTTAAAAATTTTGAAAAACAAATCTGAGAAAAAGATATTTTGCGTTTCAATAGCGATGATAAAATATGTGTCTAAATACGTATACATATATAGTAAGGTTAACAAGTTACATAATTGGGCATCAAAATTTGTAGACAATGTTTTAGAGCCTATTACAACTAAAGTTATAAGAAGTTTAAAAAAAATTGTTTTTTGAAATAATATAAATTAGTTACCGCCAAAAAACATTTAAAATATATAATAACAAGAAAATATTTAAAGTTTTGATTTATAACTACTTTTATTTTAAGTTTTGAATTTTTTTTATTAAAGAAAAAAAAAAAAAAACAATAACAAAAGAAAAAAAATTAATATTTATGGATATTATTAATTTATGGAAAACCGTTATTCGGCGTAAAGTAATACTCTAAATTAATATATAAACGTGCACAAAATTTCTTGAATAAATAATAGCGTCTCTAGCTATTATAGGTAAATACATAAAACAATCGGACTGAAGTTTTGGACGCATATTAAACTTGTAATGAATTAAATAAGATTTTCTTTGGAAGTAACGGTATAAAATGATAGCAAACGTCTTGAAAGTCCTGAGTTATTGCAAAACTATTATTTATGAATCAATAACACATTGTCAGTATGTTTATATAACCATAATGAAGAATTGCCTGCATGAATCATCAGTTTGCAAGTAGAAAAATTTGAAACAAAAAAAAAAATAAAGAAACTCATAAATTGGTTATCTGTTTACGTGACCGGAACAATATGACTTATTATGCGACTTCTCTTTTAAATTCTGTAAAATTTAAAAAAAAAAAACTACTCTAACTAAAGTAACATGTTATTATTATTTAAAAACACAAATTAGCGTTTTAAAATACAAGATGTAAACACAGTTTCGTTTCCACTAATTTTTCTCTTCATGTTTTTTCCTATGCGTAAAAATTTAACAATATCGTCAATCGCTAGGATGTTTATAATGGGTGTCCAAGTTGTAAAATTGTTTTAAACCCCACAGTTGTATAACTTTTTACTACTATAGTAATGTTTATAAACTATATATAACTATAATAATAAAATCAACCTCTTATTTAATCTCTTTTGAAAAACGAACTCCAATCAAATAAGAAAAGACTAGTTGGTGAAAATGTTCTTGATTTAAATTTAGTAAGATTTTTTTAAAAGTCTTACCAAGGTTAAGTTGCACTGTTTGCCGGTCCACTGAAAGAAAAAATTAACACAAAGTCAGTATAACAAGAAGTCAATGACAAAATGTCTGTCAATTAAAATAGTCAACGATAAAGAACATGATTATAGTGTGTTTCGCTATGTTGTGTCCAAACGAAACTAGTATTTTTAGAAATAACAAAACTATGTGGTATTTTATTATGCTGTGTCTTATCAACACGCTGCATTTTAGATTTTTGTATTTCAGCGTTGCAACACTTAACACTTAAAGCTCTTAAATGACGTAAATGTTTCACCAAGATTTGGAAAATTTTTAAAACAATAATATATGGAACAAAACATCCTTATATCTAGGTTTTGGTATATAGGTTTCTATTTGAAAAATATTCCCTACTTTTTAACACTTTTATTCTATCAAAGTGTAATATAAATACCTGAAATTTGTTACAAAGAAAACTAAACAGAGTTCAGTAGAAAGGTTGATTTAACAGTGTTAGTTATAGCACATTTAAAAAGTGTCTAAATAAATAAGGTATTATTCGTTATGTTGCTACAAGAAAATTGCTTTTAAGGGCAACAGAGAATTTAAAGATATAAGTGGAGTAAGATAAAACTTCTTTATTTAATAAAAATTTTGCTTTAAGGTGTTTAGTGATAAAATAAATTTAGAGGCAGGTAATTGTAAATAAAGAATTATAGATAAAAGATTAGGTGCAGAGAAAAATTAGGAAAGATTTTGTATACCAAGAGTACAAGATGGTGGCAGCTTGATTGATATATGAGGATTCATTTGTCGTTAAGAGATAAAATTTCAAAATTTGTTCATGAAGAATTATCAAGTATTATTGCGAATTATAATGAAGAGTTATCAAGTATAAATGGTTTACCTTACTGCTATATTATTTTTTGGAAGATGTAAAAACCTGGTTTTCCAATAAGATAGTAGTTTTAAAGGCAACATTTTACTCTTCTAACCTGGCTAGTGCTATCATGACTGGACAAGAAATTATTAAGAGAGATTAAATATGGAAAGCATTCCATCTCTTTTAAGATGCAAGAATAAAACTGTAACTAAACTCCAAAGGAACTATATTTACATTTTATTAAATCCATGCCTAAATGTATTCAAGCCTTCCTAAAAACACGCTTTGGTCACGCAAATAATAATTAAAGCGTGACCTATCTTGTCGACATTTTACTATAGAATTTTTGATTTAATTCTTATTATAATTGTTCTTTAATTAATTTGATTCTCTAATTAAGTTCTCTAATTAATTTGTTTCACTATGTAATTGATTTCATTTTTTTTTTAAATTAAAAGAAAAAACTCTTTTTATTTTAATTAAAAAAAAAAAAAGAATATATATTATATAACCGCTAAAGAATCTATGATAACTTATGTTTATGAAAGCAATTGTAATTTCTGGATATTTGTTGAGGTCAAAACACAGTATTATAAAACGAGTTCAAACTTAAACCTTCTAAATCAGAGGTTGAACTATTTAATGTTCTATTTATATTTAGAGATATTTTATGGAAACTTTTGTAAAGTATAAATGCCACAATTTCACGATTCATAGCATCTAAATAAAAACCATTAATAGTTTTAATTAAAACAAACGTAATAATAAATAAATAAAATTGGAATAAAGAAATTGTTGATACTCTTATATATAAATACAAAAATATTTTAAAAAGTACTGTTTTCACAAACACATAAGTTATGGATCAGATATAATATTTATATATTACCTTATGTAATAAACTTCATGTTCATTTTTAAAAGAATTTAAAAATATAAAAAAAATGTCTTCAAAAGACAAAACAATTTCTTTTAGTTTTTCTTGAATGAAAGATAATTCCATTCATGGGAAAAATCAAATTTTTTTAAAACTGTTTTGTTCCATAGAAAAGCTCCTCGATATGAAATACATGCCTTTCCAATATTAGTTAAAGATAAAGGTTGCTGAATTTGATTATCATTTCTTAAGTTATATTTATTTTTATCTTTTAAGGTATATAGATTATGAAAAGAAACTGGAGATTCGTTGGTTTTACACTTGAACATAAAACAAAGTAGATTAAAAATAATTAGCTGATAAATATTAAGAATTTTCATTTGAAATAATAATGGTTTGGCATGAGCAAATCGATCTTTATAACTGATAAGCCGAGCAACATGCTTCTGCTGACGATAAAGAGGTAGCAGTTTAGATTTATTGGTATTACCCCAAGCAATATTTGCATAATTTATATGGCAATGGATTAAAGAGAAATATAATTGTTTTAAACTGTGTTTATTTAAAGCATTTCTAGCCTTGTACATTACTCCTATATTTCGAGCAACTTTGTTGCACAATAAATCATTGTGATACTTCCAACTAAGGTTTTCATCAATCTTTAATAACTTCAGAATAAAGTCTCTACAAATAATGCTTTATGGAAACAAAGGGTATAATGATTCTCTTAACTATCAAGAATGATTAACAATATGGCCAAAAATTATTTATACTTAGCAATTCTAAAGTCTGTTTATTCTAAATAAGATATTTTGATTTTTTGCTTTAAATGAACAAAGAAAAGCGAGAAAAAAAGACTCGTTTTTATCGATGCAATTATAAATGGCATTTTCTTGATGTAACTCTTTTTTCTCGTATCCAAAATGTATCGTTATTAAAAAAATACTACACAATCAAAATAAAATATTTGCTTCCTTTACTCCTTAAAAAATTAAGTTTTTCTCTAACGTTTAGGCCGTTTTGAAACGGTATATAAACTTGAGAATTAGGTAACATTTTGAACTAATAAGCGGCCATAATTTATGTTTAATAAAGTTTAATAGTTTTATAAATTTAATAAAACATAACTTAAGTAGATTGTATTTCAAAAGGGTAATCAGAATTTTATTTTCCATATTTGAAACTCATTCTCTTTTTATATATTATTTAAAATGCACAGTCTAGTGTAATAAACTGGGGATGTTTATTAATATATTTTAATGTACATTTGTTGTTACTTACTAGTTTTTCCTCCTGATGAGTCAAACAATAAAAATTGATAAAAAATTGAAGTTTGTTTTTTGCTGTGTTTGGTTTTATTAGTTATACACAGTAACACTTTTTTTCAAATATATAACTAGATTAATTATTAGGCTATTTTGATTTTTTCTTTAAATTAAGGCTCTGCGTGAATAAACCTTTGACCTTTTTGGTTTTGTTTATTTTGTGAAAGTTTGCGTTACGTAGTTTATTGACAATTCCATAATCTATTAAAAGTCGGTAGCGGAAAAATAAAAATTATCCTACAGATAGTCAATTTTGTTTAGTTGAAAAGTATCACGTGTTTGAATAAAATATCTAAATAAATACATATCTAATTGAACAATACCAAGAACTAGGTAGTGTAATGTATTGAGGCATGCATTATGCCCTGCTTAGTGATCGATTCCTACTCGTGGTGTCTCTTTTTCAATTTTGTTGTTTTTTCTATGTTCATATTTTTTATGTTTTATCAAATTATGATCATTTATTGACTTAATTATTTGAAGATACGCGCAGTGAATAACACAATAAGTGTTCATACATCAATTGACGCAAAGAAGTGTTTATACACAGACTGATTTATAAATAGGCACTCAGGAATGTAAATTTATTTATAAATTTTAAGTGTGCTTACAGTGTAAGTGTACTTTACTACTTTACTAAATTTATTTACATTTACTACTTTAGAGATTAGTGTAGTAAAGTGTACATACATTTACTAATTCAAGGAATACATCCTTAAAATATTACATCTTTAATAGAAAAAGCTATTACAACCAGATTGATAAAGATGCAATGAAGAACAAACCGCAAGTTTATTGAAGTCTTGGTGTATTAGTAAAGCATTTGGTTTGTATGTGGGAAGCTTCAAGTTTGATCCTTACCACACACTAGATTAAACCGTATAACCGCATCGAACTTGTTCATCAAGCTTCATGTTTTGAAGTTGAGAGTTGAGAAAGTTGTAATAACAACAACGTAGCCTCCTTGCAAAACTTTGCGAAAGGTCCAGGTCAGACCCTGAGCTTTTGCAAGGTATATACAGTCATGGAAAATGTTTGAAGTTAACTATAAGCTATGCGTAGTTCTTTCATAAATTAGTTGAATATTAATTAAAAGAATTAAAAGAATTAGTAGAAAAAAAAAATAGTTAATTTTGAAAGAGGTACTTCATTCCAATCGGAATAAAGTATTTGGACAAATATATGTATTTAATTACAATCGGCAAACAGCCTATAGGGCTGGATGTTTATAGTAATAAAATATATGACATTTTACCCAATATATTGCATCAAAACATAACAAATATGGTCAAAATTATTGGTTATCTGTTAATAAAGATAGAAAACATATGGTAACTATTTCTCTATCTTGCAAGGCTAAAACCCATCTATAAGCTGAACGTTTTTCAGAACAGGTGTCCTCCAATTACGAACAGGTGTCCGTTATTATAAGGCTCCAATGGAGCCTTATAATTACGATGACAGAAATGTTACTTCAGATAACTTTTTTAAATTTATCAGTTTGGGAAAACAAAAGATCCTAGCTTTTTATAAATTACAAATAATATTTGGAAAAAAGAGCTATATTCTGCTGATATTTAAAAATTAGATGGCATGACACTCACTGATTACAAGGCAATATAAAGAAAAATATCATATTTCCAAAACACTCTAAACAAAGATGTGTCAATTTTGATAATGCTAAAAAACTCAAGAAACAGTCTAATTGTAAAACGAAACAAATATGGGGTAGATATTGTACGCCAAATGGAAATGGCAAATGGACAGAAAATATACTGCAAAAACCTGTAGAAGACGATGAGCATATCTTTTTTTTTAAATAGCTTAAGATATCATATGGTATTAGAGTTAGCAAAACCACGAACAAGACATGAACAGGATGAACATCAAGCATAATTGATCAAAAGATCTGCCAAATGAATGTTCTATGCAAAAGATACCGTTCTGCAAAAAAACATTGAGTAGGACATGAGCTGCAAAATTTGCTTTTCAGAGTGAAAAGTGTAGAATAATATACGTAATTTAAAATGTTTCTCTTTTTCTGCAGCATATCTTTCATATAAACTTTGTACGGTTTATTGTTTCTTCTTGTTTTTTTGTTGTTGCTATTTTTGTCTAAAATAATATTTACTGCAACACTGAATTTATTTGTTTTTTAACACTTTCTTTTTCTTCTCATTATTTGTAAAAGAAGACTATCTTATAAAAAGGTCAAAAGGTTGAATCCAACTTAAGTATATGCTGCAGTAATTTTTTCTTGATAAATTAAGCTCAAATCTGACAGTTAAATTATGTTCTATTACTTTTTTGATCATTTTCTAAAAGAGAAATTATAAGAAGAACCAGCCTAAATATACCAACAGGGTCATAAAATGGAGTGGAGTGATAAAATGAATAGAGATAAAACAAAGCTTAATTTTGAGCAGAATGGTTTTAAAAATATTTTAAAACAGTTGCAAGATAACTGATTTTTATGCCTCTGATTTGAGGCAATAAAATTCAGTGACCTTGCAACAACTTTAACCTCTTTGCAAATCTCAGTATAACAGTTGTTGTTTCTTGTTATTTTAAGGCAGCCTTTCTTTTAATTCATCAAACTCACTAGATATATAGAAAGTTCAGTGTGAGTTCACTAATTTCAATATATAAACTGAAATTTCAACTTATTATTATTCTATTCAACGAAATTAAGTTTAGTTATATAACACTTCAATTTATTTTAAATCCGTAGAAAAGCATTTGTCCTCACTATTTTACTATTTACATAGTTATAGTCATAGAATAAATTGAAAAATTGACAACTTTCAAACAATGTACATGGTGGTACTTATTTCAGCATGTTTTTTTAAGTTGACTTTTTTAAACTGTATTTAAAGGTGATCACACTCGATAATAAATTCAAAACGTTAAATTATTTTAATTATTTTTTAAGATATTTAGTTCTTGTATATAAAACATTCATAATATTGTTTAATCTGAACTTTTTTATCCACGTTTGTTTATTAGCAACTAATTCATTTGCTGTTTTGTTGCTGTTTTTTTTCTAAAGATTCTTTTTATGGAAAGTAATATTAGTAAGTAATAATGCATTTTTTTTTCCTATTTACAAATTATTGATCAAAAGTTTGAGAATCTTTTAAAAGTAAAGTGTAATGCTAACCATAATAGGTGATGGTCACATGTTTCAACCTTTATAAGATTTCGAACTTGCGTTTTTTTTTTTACCTTTAATCTATTTTTTTTATAATGTTTGCTTATGTTGACATCCACTACAAAAAATTTTTATTTGTTATTTTTAGTTAAGTTACTTAATAAGTAAGAGTTTACATATTTGTTAGGTAATAGTTTACAAAAAATCATATTTTGTTTGTTATAGATAAAATGAAGCCAGACGCTTTTGATCCAACAGGTAAACTTATTAATTTTACGATTGTTTTTTTCAAGAAATAAGTCTTATAAGGCTCTTTTTTTTCAAAAGGTTATTAAACTCTAAGCGTTGCACTTTCATTTCTTCAACTAGAAATAATATACTTTCAGTTATAAATAATGTAATTTTGATTCAAAGCACATTTTTTGTAATTATTCTAAATAAAACATTTTCTTTTCAGAAAATGTAAGGAATCATATGTTTTATTGTTTATTATTTATGATATGATTAAACATTCATAACATTGTTCACTCTTTGTTTTGTTATTTTAAATTATTATTTAAATAAACTAAAACTTGGCTAAAATGTAAAAATTGTGTTTTTAGTTAAATAATCTAGTTTCATATGTTCTAAATAAAATGGTAATATTTAATTTTTAATGATTAGCAATGATTTTTCTTTTCTTAATTTTTTTCTAAGAGGATAGCAAAAATACAAATTGCATAATTTTAATGTAACAACAAGCGTTAAATTAAGCAAATGCAAAACGCAAAATCTGGAAAAATATCTAGTATTCAAAAATTTAGTTTATACAAAACCGTGCTTCTTGTTTTTAAAGAAATAATCAACTTAAATTCGTTAGCGAATTTAAGTTGATTCTTCCTTTAAAAAGCGAAATAAAACAATAAACTTCCAATTACAAAAGTAATCACACTCTAGTCACTAACTGCATTACAAAAGTAATAACACTATAATAGTGATATTACTTTTATAACGCACTTATAACTTTTAAAAATCATTTGTTCAAACAACATTAGTATTCCCAAATTTTAATTGAAGTAGAAAAATATTTAGAAGAATAAAGTGGATGTTCAAATAATATTAAAACTATAGTAACTTAAAAAATCGTGACAAACAACTTAATGAAAACGTATCGTATTAAAAGATTAGCATTATGAAAAACGTTACTAATGTACCGTAAAAACGCGCGTTAATTCTAAAGTTAACCAATAAAAAATTTTCATTGGTTAATTTTAAAATTAAGGCGCGTTTTTAACTAACGTTTTTCATAATGCTATACTTTTCATAAAGTACTTTTTTATAACCTTTTTTTAAGTGATATGTGAAAGTTCCTGAAATTTTTGAATATCCGCTTTATTTTTTCTAGATGCTTTTTTACGTTAATAAATGTTTGAAATTAATAATGTTGTTTAAACAAAGAATAAAATTTAAAAGTAATAAGTGCTTTATAAATGTTATAACACTATTATAGTTTTATTACTTTTATAATACAGTTAGTGATTAAAGTGTTATTACTTTTGTACTCGTAAGTTTATTATTTTTGTTTTGTTTTTTGTAACTTTCTCGCTAGCAAACCTTTAATAATTTGCTCCTTATAAACAAAGTACACAACTTTGCATCATCTAAAATTTTGAACAAAGAATGAACTTTAAAAGTAATAATTGCTTTATAAATGTAATAACACCAATATAGTTTTATTACTTTTATAATGCAGTTAGTAACTAAAGTGTTATTACTTTTGTAATCGCAAGTTTATTGTTTTTGTTTTGTTTTTTGTAACTTTCTCGCAAGCAAACTTTTAAAAATTTGCTTCTTATAAACAATGGACACAACTTTGCATGAACTGAAATTTTAAAGATCTAATATTTTACTAGAGTTTGCAAACGCGATCGTATAATTTAACTCTTGGTATAAACTTGTTACATCGTCATTATAAAAATATATTTTAGAAACAGATGACGATACATATTTTCTCCTTCCTCTTTAAAAGAAAATACACATAAAATATAGGAAAGTCATCCTTTTTAACGCCTAAAACCATATTTTTTTTTTTTTTTTTGCTTTGCCGATAATGATAACCACTAAGGAAAAACAAAAATAAAAACAACTCACAAGTTATTTAAACTATTTATCTTGTTTTCTATTTAAGTTTACTTTAATTTCTTTTGCAGTTATTAAATTTAAAACGCATATAATATAACTTGCGCAAACAGCATATAATACAACTTGCGCAAACGGCCGTGATCACGTTTTCTAACTTGAAAAACATTTTCGTGGTCGTAGGAGAAAAAAAACCCCACGCCTTTCCTTAGAAGGCTTGCTTATAAATAGTGTTCAAGTGAGCTATTGGCATCTGTGTTTTTATAAGAGTTTGTTAAATTTTTTTCCAGCAGTTAACAGATTTTGTTTTATCATCTTCTTTTTTGCATAAATCTTTATCTAATTTTTTTTCATTATAATTATTTTATTAATAATATTACTTAGGCAATAGAATTCATATTGGAAACTGTTGCATGATGATTAATTGTATCAGCCTATTGAAGTTTTAAAAGTCAGCAATTGTTTTAAATAAATGCCATAAACTTTTTTTTCTTAATTCAAATAAAATTCTAATGAAAAGTTGATTCCTAAAATAAGTTTTATAAAGGACTGTTTTAATGTTCAGAAAATCTTATATTTGTACTTATTTAATTAAATGTTAAACTAGTTATTAATGTTTACATTCAGTTTTTTTCTTTAAAATACTAATACTTTCAATGCTATCAGCTTTAAAAGTAATATTTTGTTCATTTTAGTATTAGATAACTCCAGTCCATCAGATCCTACAGGTAAGCTTAACAGATTTTAAGTTGTTTTTTTTTAATTTAATAAGTTAGGTCTTATCAGGCACATTAGGCACTTTTTTCACACAAGCTTTTCTTGGTATTAATTGTATATAAAGCATTTTCTTTTTGAAAATGTAAATTGTTCCTGCATATTATAAGTTTTAACTATTATTTTTTTTCATATAATGTTATATTAAATATTTTTTTATTCAACGAAGCTGTTTTACATATTTTCTTTTTTTAGTCTTGGTTGAATGAAAGAGTTAAATTTTGTTTAATTGAGTTTTATAAAAGTTTATTACATTGTTAATTGCTTTTTTTTTTTTTAGTTTTAAATTAGTTCTTGACCCTTGTTTGTCATTTGTATATACTGAGAACAGTAAGTATTCGCTTGATCTAGAAAGTACTGCAACATGTATATGTCAAAGTGGTTTTGTTTATGATCGCATTAAAAATTCATGCATTAAGTTCTAAAAAATTCATATAATTAGTTATCTTATAAATAAATTTTGTTTGATGTAGGTAAAAAAATCTGTTTTTTTATTAGAGTTGGTTTAACTATACTTTAGCAGTTAAAAGATTTTTTTAATGACCTTTTTTTCTGTCGAAATCTTTGCCTAATAACTTTAATAATAACTACAAGTTTTTTTTTTAACTAAACAAGTTTACTTATTTGTTTGTATTTAGAGCTTTACTAAGTAGGTAATTTTAACATTTTTGATTTGTATCGTTTTTTTTTCTATGTTAATATTTTCTTATCATTTTTTTTTTATCAAAAGTTAAATTAATTGATAAAATTTATAGAATATCGAAAAAACAATATTTTGTGATTGACTTATCAACTGTTGCATGATGGTTGAAAGGGTCACCTAAGACCCAGCAAACATCAAGCAGGCGGACCGATAACGGACCGCTGTCAGTACTTATGCCGTACCGACGTCGGCCGCCCGTTGCGTTGCCGCGTTGGCTTGCACATCGTATTTACATTGGTCCGTTAGCGAAAAACTGAAGGCGGTTCGACAGCGGACCTATGGCGGCAAATCAACAACGTTTGAGCAACGGTCCGTCAGCGGCTAAACGATGATAAAGCCATTGCGGAATAGCATAGGATCTATAATAAGTTTTGACTAAGATTTGGATGCATTGATACACATATAATTATTTTTATTTTTTTTGTTTGAATAGAACGCACTTATCGTTAAAAAAAATCTTTATATCTTTCAGCTCAAATTTTTACTCATAAAAAAATGCAAACCCTGCCAATGCCTGGAAGACACATCAAATACCTTTTGACTTTGTGCATAGGTATATAGATAAAATACAAATTTATTATACTAAAATTCTCCTACCACCGAAAAACACTACCCCACTGTAAATCATTAGGTCATACGTGGTAAGGCTTAAGCTTGGTGAACAAAAAGACTAATCAGAAGTTATAATAAAAAACATTTTAAGATTGCAATTTACAATTACAACATGAATATAAAAGCAACAAAATTTTTTTATTAAACTAAAACAAAATATAAAGTCTATTTGCATCTACAGATACATATTATTGCTTCATGTGCGTTTAGCGAACATTTAAAATGTAAAACAATTAATTTTCAACATCTCTATAAGTTCAGTTTATTCTCATTTCAATCAAAAACTAAATATATTCAGGAAACCATGTGTTGAAAATTGATTTACGTTGCAGTCTGCAAACTTCTAACTTTTATCTAAAAGCAGACAATGATATATAATGAAAATATTGAAACAGTCAAGTTTAGAGCTATTACAACAAAGATAATAAACTAACTTTGTCAGCCCTTAAAAGCGTGTTCGTTTGAAATAGTCTGATCACCAGTTATTGACAAATAACTTCAGATACTAAGTGCATCTACATTGAATAAATTTAATTTTATATTTTAAGCATAGTTTAAAACATAAAAACAACAAAAACATTGCTTAAATTAAAAAGCTATGGAAATAACTTTAAAAAAAAGCTAGATAAAAATAAAGTCACATTGCGTGCCTTTATTAAAAAATAAAACTTTATATAAAGTAACCTACCTGGTATACCTAATCCTATAAATATGCTTGAGGGGTTTAAGAACAATAAAAAAAAATTGTTATTTCATTGAAAAAATTATCTTTAATTTTAAATTTAATTTAACAAATAAAATAGTATTTAAAAATGAGATACTTTTATGGCAGGTTGGAAGTAAAACCGTGAAACCCACAGCAACCTAAGGGCAATGGTTAACCTTTTGCAAAGCATAAGCCTAAGACACAAATGCACATCTGAAAAAGAAAAAATCAGAGACAAAACACATCAATAAAAATATATTTTGACAAACTAAAATATAGTTTGCCCATTGAACATAATTTTCACCATACAAAAAAAAAACATAGCGCAATATAATATACTATAAAAATTCCTTGAAAAATATAAAAAGTCAAATAATTGATTGAAATAAAACGGTTTAGTAAATATGTATATAATTTTTTTTAATAAATTATTTATAAGCATATAAAGAGCAAATAAATATGTTTAAAGAAAATATGTATTAAATCCAGTTTGCAAATCAAACAGCTATCTTATACCCATGGCAATATTTGGATCATGGTCAACATAATTCTATAAAATATAACTCTGGTTGAGGTAAACGGTTTCCTGTAAAGAATATAATATTAAGTCATAAATGTAACATTAAATTACAAGCATGTTTTAACGGAATTTTTAAAGCAATCCTTTAAAATAATGGCTTGTAAAATCAAAATTTTGTTTGATTTTTATTCATCTGCTTCACCGGTTAAATACCAAGTTAATTTAGCTCTCCATCAATAACTTTATATCTTAAAGCTTATAGTTGTATTTAAATTTAATATAATCAAACAAATCAAACATTAGACAGACTCCAGAACTTATGTTTTGGATTTTTCTCAAAACTAACATTAAAACAAATAATATCAAAACAATAAAATTAATCTTACTTTATTCTCTGGTAAGATTCAATATCACGATTTAAATTCTCATATACAAGAGGTAACTGTAGAAGGAAATGAATGTGAAAAACATGGAAACAGTAATACTCATTGCACAAAAACTTTACTTTATTGAGTTTAAAATTAAAAATATTTAAAAATATATTAAATATTGTAAAATAAAGATAACAAATTTAAAAATAAAGATGCTTATTTTAGTTGACAATGTTATTCATCTTCTGAACTAAAAAATGCCTCTTTATTTAATGGCATTGGAAAACTTAATGTAGGCATCACTTTTTTCTTGGCTTGTTTGTTTTTTTGGTCTTGTCTAACTTTTTGTCCGCCATTGCGGTCTGATGCACCACGCAAAAAACGCACAACCACATAATGAAAATCTGATTTAGTTGCTGAAGTTGTTGCAGGATTTCTTTTCTCCTAAAAATTAATTTAAGACTTTTATCTAGCTATCAAGCAGATTTTATCTAACTATCTAGAAGGAAATCAAACAATATAATTTTTTAAAGCTATTTATTAACAAATTTTATTTACCTATTTATTAACTTTTTATTTATATATAGTTAATAAATAAATTTTATTTATTCATTAACTATTTATTAACAAATAGATTAGTAATTACTTTTATTATGTTGACCATGATCCAAATATTGCCATGGGTATAAGATAACTGTTTGATTTGCAAACTGGATTTAAATCATATTTTCTTTAAACATATTTATTTGCTCTTTATTTTCATTAGGCATGCCAGCTTTGGTAAGTTTATGACGATACGCTGTAGTTTTGCCAACACAATGCCCGAGTTGGCTCCCGGATAACGGTAAGATGTCGTAAAAACACCAAAAGTAAGCATTTCAAGCGCCATGAGACTTTGATTGATCGATTTTTATATTTTATATTGAAGTACATAGTCTATGTAAAACAGTAAGTAATAAATAAATAGTATTAAAAAAAAATCAAATTAGTCTTTTTATTTTTAAGTCTTACAATATAGGTTATTTATATAAATTTATATTAAATCTACGTCTATTATAGATGTAGATTTAATATAAATTTATATATATAACCTATATTGTAAGACTTAAAAATAAAAAGTAGCTATAAATATAGCTATAAATATTGATTATAAATATTAAAAGTTACACGATTTTATACCTATATCTATATTCATAAATTATAAATATAGATATAAATAAAATATACTATACTTTATATTATATTATAATATATTATATTTATATCTGTATTTTTAATTTATATTTATATCTATATCTTTATCTATAGTTATATATATTATATCTATATCTATACTTAGTATAGATTACTATATAATACATCTATATCTATACTTAGTATAGATATAGATATAAAGTATAGATATACATATAGGTTCAATATATATTTATAAGACTCAAAATTGAAAATACTAATTTGATTATATTTTAAACATATAACTTTAACAATATTGTTACAGTTATGTAACAGTGCTATAACCATATTTGTATAACATTGTTCATGTTATATTAAAAGTTACATGACTAGTCATATAACTTTTAATATAACAAGAACAATGTTATACTAATATGAAGTTATATATATATATATATATATATATATATATATATATATATATATATATATATATATATATATATATATATATATATATATATATATATATATATATATATATATATATATATATTTATATACACACACATATATATTATATACATTTTTAAATATGTACCAGCTTTAGTAAATAAAACAATTTATGTTTAAACAAAATTGTGAAACAATTGATGATGTTAACAATGAAGAACTAAAAAATGATTTGATGCAGTGGGCAGTTAAGTTTGCTATAACCGATGAAGCATTAGCATCTTTGTTAAAATTTTTGGGTAAATTGTTTCCTGAATTGCCAAAGGATCCACGGACTCTACGTCAAAGTCTTTTGTACCTGTTTCTAGTATAACTGGTAAAAGTATTGTCATTTTGACATTAGACAAGGTATTTTAAGTAATATTTCAAGTTTTTTAAAGAAAAAGGGTTGTATATCAATTCAAGTCAACATTGATGATTTACCATTGCTTAAAAGCAGCAATGGACAATTTTGGCCATTATTAGGTTTAATAAAAAATGCGGATAAACAATATTCAACACAATAAAACCCCATTTATAATCGGTCTTTTTTATAGTAGGTCTAACCAAAAGACCGTAATGAATTTCTAAAAATGTTTGTTAATGAAAGTATTGCTTTATTTGATTCTGGTGTTAGTATTAATGGTAAAGTATATAAATTTGCTATATAAGCTTTTATTTGTGGTACACCAGCTAGATCATTTATAAACGGAAATAATGGACATAAAGCCTATTAATAAATGTTATGCAATATTTAATAGCAATAATTTTATATCTATTTTTTTTTTAATTTTTTAAAAAATATTCTTTAGTATATATATTACTGATGCTTTTTC